CCAATGATGTGTCGAGGTGTCCAAGAGGCAACTATTTGCATATTCTGCCGCGCCAATTCCCCCGATCTCTTCACCAACGTGACTGAGGCGACCAAATGGGATGTGGGTTGAACGAACACAAAGCGAGAGGGCTATCAGGTTTGGACGCGCCCTCGAAGATTGCTGTAAGGTTGGCTCCATGAGGCGGGAGGGACGACATCCACCCTTCCACAGTCCATTGCAAACGAGTGCCACCAGGAGCCGTGTCTTTTAATTTTGTAGCCTAACGTAGAAGCGCAAACTTCTGCTGCTTTACAGCAACTCGCTCATACATTCTTAAACCACTATGGAGTGAGGGAGTGAGGGAGAGAGGAAGGGAGGGAGGGAGAGGGAATGTTTTTAGTATTCCACTTCATCATGTCGTTGAAGTGTGGGTCTGAACCACCAAACGCTTTGACAACGGTGCATATTCAACCCACGGCACAGCCCAACACATTCACACCAGCTTCACCTCCTCCACACGGCACAACGGTCACGAGGTGTGCAATCCCTCCCTTGCCATCTCCGCACAGCTGAATTGGCCTTGACTTCTGATCGCGAAATCCGTCGGTCGCAAGCTTGATGGGAGGCTTGATGCAAATGCGCGTCTCTCTTGTCCTCTCCTCAACTTCAACAACACTATCATCACTCCACAGACACACAATTGAGGGATGGAAGAAAGCATCACAGTTAAGATGACGAAATCACAGAAAGCACGATGAGGTTCTCCTTGGTGTCTCTACCACTGCTCCGGTGGTGCTGACGGTGCTCCACCTTCCACTGTCATGTCGAATGGAACGCGGGAAGTCGACACGTTTATGCCGTGCTGGTGGAACAAAGAGTGGTGGTTTGGCATGAATGCAACCTTGGCAGTTACTTGTGAAATGGCTTTTCTCCTGCACACATCCTTTCATGATGTGAGGAGTGCCACGCTTCCATCACCTCCTCCACTATTTCCATAGTGAGTGGTGCTTCAGGCAATGCAACCAACGCCATCACTCCCGTTAGGTCTCATCCACACAGAGACGTTTCATTGTTTTGTTATTAACGAGAGAAGTCGGTAGACAACACAACTGACGGTTGGAGGTTACTGGCGTCACCATAGGCCTCCACCCTCTCACATCCACCCCTTCACCTGCAGGGAAGTCAAACCTGTTGCGGTGAGGTGTCGTCACGTTCGAAAGAACAGTCAATGAGTCAAGGTGAGTTACCAAGGAAGAGGGATTAGGAGGCTGTTGGCATTGGTGGTAGTGGTGCCGTCGAGATGGAGGGACGATGTCCACTTCGAACAGCCAATTGCAGACGCGTGGG